TTTTCATAATATCTTAAACTTGTTTGAAAATCATTTAACACTGGAATTTTTTGCTTGCTTCTACACTGATACACAACATATTTCCAAAAAATTGACCAAAACATCTTCACTATTTCCTAATAGAATATTTTCAAAATTTAAGACAGGAAGCTTTTTCCCCATTTCATTTCTTTATACTCAACTCTTTCTTCATATCATGATACCTCATGATCACTATATCCCAACTAAGTAGAGCTGAAACTCACTCTTTCATGCTATCTATTGTTCTTTCCCTTTCTGACCTCTACTCAACTCAATCCCAGCTGAAGAGAGCTGAGGCTGACTCAAAGAAAGCCACTGAAAAGCTCAATAAACTCACAATCCTATACAGCAGGTTCGGTCGAGTACAACAGGTATCTTTACTGTTTTCTTACTTTAATATGTTAGTGTCAGCATGTCTGGAAACTGTGGATGATGTTGATAAGGTCTTTGACTTGCACACCATGTTATGATTGTAGTAACCATTCTTGGCTACATCTTAGTTGCTGTTTACATATGACTACTGGGCTGCCTTGTTGAGTTGAGTTTACTGGATCTTTCTCTTTATTTGACGGGTTTTGTAGTTTTCCTCCAACCAATTCTATCTGTGAGTTGGCCTTTACTTACTTAGATCAGCTCTGAGGTTGTTTCAGGGTTTGATCTGTGAGTTAGCCATGCCCTGACTTAGATCAGCTCTGAGGTTGTTTCAGGGTTTGATCTNACTTAGATCAGCTCTGAGGTTGTTTCAGGGTTTGATCTGTGAGTTAGCCATGCCCTGACTTAGATCAGCTCTGAGGTTGTTTCAGGGTTTGATCTGTGAGTTAGCCATGCCCTGACTTAGATCAGCCCAGAGGTTGTTTAAGGGTTCAATCTTTGAGTTAGCCATGCATTGACTTGGATAAGCCCAGAGGTTGTTTAAGGGTTCAATCTGTGAGTTAGCTGTGGCCCCACTTTGATCAACCAGATCAAATGATGCTCCGAATGTGGAAAATTGAGTTAGAATGAACTGGCAATCGATAGTTTATAGATAAAACTAGATTTAAAAAACATGATTTCCTTACAGGTTTTGTTAGGTTACCCCCCCCTCCCTCCCCCCTCCCCAGGAAACAAAATAATATGGCAATGTGAAAGTGTTGACTCGGGCTCATACCTATTCCTCCCCACAAAGTTTTACCCATCCCTAATTTTTTTTTAAAGAAAGTATTTAATACAAGTGCATTTACTTCTTTTAGCTTGRACAAGCAAAACGTGAGCAAGCTGAACAACAACGTGCCTTAGAAGAGCTTAAAACTCAAGCAAGTCGACGTTCTTTAGAGATCGAGGAGGAATTGAGGACTCGCCAGGTTGAGATGCAGCAGAGTGCTGTAGTGCAGGATAGGTCAGAAGAGGACCGCTTAACTGAAGCTGAAAAGAACCAAAGAATGAAGGATCAGTTGTCTGTGAGTATACAACGAACTCCTCTATTCTCTCCTATTCTTTAAGTCTTTTTCACAAAGTTTTCTGGTTTTTGGTCTTCAAAACTCGACACTTTTTTGGTGCATTTTAATATAAACCAAGGGCGGATCCAAGGGGAGGGTCGGGTGGGTCGCAACCCCCTTGTCATTCCTGAGGTCAAATGGGCTTCCTGTGGTAGAAATGTGACTGGGATTCCTTTGCCCAAAAAAATTTACCCCTGAGACCCCCCCTTCAAAAAACCCTGGATCCGCCCTTGTAAACCTCTTTACCTTAGGCGTAATGTTTTCCCTTTTCAGACCACGTGTCATTCCCTATAGAGTATGATTTCTTTGTTTAAAAGGTTGCACATGACAAGATACTTGCATATGAATTCAACTTAAACAAAAGATATTATTCTCAAGCCAATGACACGTGGTCTAAAATAAGAAAACATTACACCCAAGGTAAAGAGGTATATTCGAAGACACATATTGAGTATGAATGCGACTCAAAGATCTCATTATTTTGATAGTCAGGGGCGACCTCAGCTAATTCACGAAGTGTACTTTTATATTTTATCAATGGAGGCCCTATAAATCTAAAATTCTAATAAAATGAAATAAAAATCCAAAAATGTTATTCCCAAGAGAATGATGGAGAAAGACTCATATCAGAAGCTGTTTAATTTTCAACATATGTTAACTAATTGCTTCACAGAGTTTGTCTGCCGAACTCAATCTTGCCAAGCATGGCCAGAAGGAAACAACCATGGACATTCTTCATGCTGAGAATGTCAGGCAGGGAAGAGACAAGTACAAGACCCTGAAACAAATCAGGCAGGGCAACACCAAGAGCAGAATTGATGAGTTTGAAAGCTTGTAAATCTCTGCCTTTAGACTACTTATCTTGGTAAGAAATTATACTTGTATTTGACTTCCCTTAAAAGGGAGCATTTATGTATTTGGTGTTCTGATGTTGAGGAAAAAACTGGGTGGAGTCTACATGACGGTGCATTGTGGGACATATTTCCAAGATGGCGTCTATTTCCTCACCTAAAACAGTCCCACAATGCAMTGCAATGTCGACTCGACCCAGTCCTTTTTCTCAACCTCGGAATGGCTAATACAAGCTTCCTGCACCCCCACTTTTCCTCTTGATTAACAATTCTTCCTTTTTTTCCTTACAGAATAAAAACCGACTCCTTGTGCCGCCGACATATAAATAAACTAAAGCGTTATTCTATTCTACTTTCCTAGCAAAACTATATACCTTTTCAAACCTGCACAATGTGAGCACACACTCAAAAGCCTATAGAAAGAAAAGCCCTTATCTACGCAATGAAAAATGTGGGTCTGTTTTAGTATAACATGGTGCATGTATGGCAAGTTTTTACCAATGGTTTAGTTATAAGCCTTTGACTGACCAGCATCATGTCATATTTTTCCTAATGGCATATTTTTATACTACACTAATGTCTCTGTATTCTACTGATGAATGCGTATACCTTGCGAAGAATTCTCATCCCCCCTGAAACTTGTAATAATTTTTCTATTTCACTATTTTTTTGATATTCTTATGAATTGAAGCAATTTGTACTAATTGCATTAGAAGGTGAAATACTGACTAAAAAATCAAAATTCATGGTTACAGTCAAAATTCGTGCTTACTCGTGAGGCATATATTAATTCGCCCTAACCTACCTACTAACCTTTTACCCCTATCGTTTGGGTAGGGTATCTAGATGTCAATCCTTTCTGAAAAACCAGAATGGGTTCTAACAATTAGAAGTAGCTTTTTCATTCATTTATACTTGGCCTTAAAGCACACAACTAGCTAAAATAATTTTAAATCTTCATGCATAAACATTCCTATTACATAAAACCTAAAAAATTGTCTTTTGCTTTGTGGGCATGCGCATTAGCACTCATTTTTTCATGACGTATAACATGTGATAATGAGCATGCGCAGTAGCTACCAAGAAGTAACGGTCTGCGCAAGCATGAAGTTGTAGTAGTAATTCATTAATTTAATTAATAAATAATTGTAATGGACGTGCATGATTGTTTGGTAGAGTACTATATAATATAAAACGTATTCAATAAAACCCAGGATGCTATCCGTTTGAAAATTCGGATTTCCAAAACGACGGCTCTGGTCACTGAGCATTCGTTCCTCGTGGTCAGCGTCGAGGAACACGGAGAAGAGAAGAACTCCTGGTTACTGTGCGGATACTCCAACCGGGACCACTTTGATAAACTAGTATCAAAAACCAATCAAATTGCGACATTTAGTTCAATATTTTTAACCAGCCAATCAGATAGCACATCTATATAATAAGAGCTTGAAAACGCAATAACCTGATTGGCTAACGCGTAGTTTACTGTTATCTGATTGGACGGTTTTATTGAAGTGTTCGCGGTTAGTGTGTCTGCACAGTAAAAGTATTGCTAGCTAATATAATATTCATCAAGGACAAGTAACATTTTTGTAGTTGTGGTCACTGATTTGTATTTTCTAAATAAATTTTAACCAACTATAAACAATTTACTTAGTTACGTTCATATTTTACGTCGGTCCTCATTCTCAGCACCCAACCGAGTAGCAACTGGAAACGAGGAAGATTTAACAGTACAGATAGTTGACGGCGCAAGATCAGCGATGTGGTCGCGTTATTGTTTGTTTACTAAAACGTTACAAAACATGAAAAACTCTCTAAGTGAAGCAATAAAATCGTCTAAATTTTACGTAATTTTCGCGGCCGGTTTTTGTAAAACGTGAGCAAAAATTAACACGAATTGGAATGGTGGGCATTATCCTATAACAGCACGTTATCCATTAATGAGTGCACTGCGTCTTGTTAGAAGTTTTCTGGTCAAAATGTCGAGCCATATCGATCGATAAGCAGAAAAAAAATCCTTCAACTGAACATTTCAAGTTTATCGAATTCCTGAAACAATCTTTGGGCTGATCTAATATTATTTTACTTAAAGTCAGGGCACCGCTAACTCGCAGATTGAACCCTGAAACAACCTCTGGCCTGATCCCAGTCATCTCAACCTCTGGGCTGATCTTTGTAACGAAGCGAGACGAACGGTAAGCTTGCAATGTCAGAGACGTGAATAATTGTCCAAGGTGTCTTATCATTGCAAGCTCACCGTTTGTCTCGCTTGGAAGCAAAAGCACGGCGCAGGGAACTGTGAAGGGGACTATTGTGATTGGACAAATAAATCAAACACAATGGGAAGACATTTCAATGTTATCTGTACCGTGTTCGTGCTATTAGCCATTCCGAGGTCGAGGAAAAGTTTGAGTAGAGTTGGGATGATTGCAGTGCATTGTGGGGCTGATTAGGGCACATTTTCAAGATGGCGTCTATTTTTCCCCTTGTCCTAAAAAAGGTCCCACAATACACTTCGATGCCAACTCGACCCAGTATTTTGAATGGCTATTCAAAGCCCGATTAGTGCTAATCCTGGGTTAACTCTTAATAAGACCTATAGAGTTAATCCTGGATTAGCGCTAATCCAGCTTGGAACAACCCGGCCCTGGTTCCTATACGCTTCCCCCTCATATGAAACCCTATATGCCATTGTTAGCCAGTGTCTTGTTATATTTATACGCAAAGAGTACAGTTTTCTTAACCACTGATAACAGTCCTCACAAAGTCCTCATAGTACACTTGTCCCTGATTATCTTCGAAACCAACCAACAAAGCGTCGACCTCTTCGTCGTTAAGCTTGTCTCCGAGGCTCGAGAGAACGTGGCGCAGCTCGGCTGCGCTGATCAGCCCGTTACAACTGCGGTCAAACACTCGAAAACATTCGAGAAAATAATCTTCGTCTTCACCTAGAAACAAGAAAAAAATCGTTGAAAATTGATGCCAAAAATATATGATAGTCGAGCCAGAGTAAACCTTATCAAAAACTATATAATGTTGGGTGAATAAGATCGTTTTGAGTTCACATCCATCAGGTTCATATTATAATTTACCTTCAAAAGTTCTAATAATAACCAGAGAAAAAATACTCAATACGTAAATTAATTTTTGACTAATTTAAAAGAATTTAATTTATGTTTAAACTTGGAATTCGTTTGTACATAGAAAAACTGTTAAAAAATATTTTTGGAAAATGTTTTTGACTCCTATATCAGTCCCGTAATATAAATAGCTTTATACCTTGCGAAAAGCCACTAATGATTTTGCTAGGAAGGAACCCCCGTGTCAGCCCTAGTTAGTTCTCACTTAGTCCTTATAAATTATTTATTTTAACAGGTAAAACGTCTAGCGTATCTTTTGGAAAAACATTGCTGCGAGACAGCGTATATTATCATTACACTGAAAAATATTTACTCCATAGAACCTTTAAAAGATTGCCCGTTGCTGAAATAACGATAATGCTTGGATTTGAACTTTTAGCAAAAATATCAGAGAGTCAATTAAGAACGTCTGTAGCTAGTTTTTGCATTCTTTAACATCTCTAAGAACTGTTTTCTTTGTTAGTCAAAATACAACGCTGGTACAAACAGTTAGTTCAACACGACACGTGTTGATCGGCAAGACCCTAAAACAAACACAGTCTAAAATATTGCATAGAAAAAATATTTTTCTCAGTGTACGAAATTAATTCGTACTGATTTCCATATCAAAACAAAAAAGCTTTCGTTTCCTCAATTATTTTAAGAAGATAAATGTATACAGAAAAACCACCAGTAGAATTAACTGGATTGAAAAGTCTGCCATCTTTTTCTGACTATATCTGAGAAAAACCACCATAAATATATTGAAAATTACTTTGAAATTGATTTGGAATTGTATTGTGGTTTCTCCCACATGAATGCGACAAGCACTAATTCAAAATTTCACCATTTTTTCTGACAGTTTTTTTCCTTTTTTGACCACATCGGGCTTTAACTTAATTTACCTCGTCTTTCCTTCCTGTGTTTGTCCCTCAAGCTCTGAAACATAGGGTAAAATTCCTCAAAGCTGACTCTCTTTCCCCCAGTAGGATCAATCTCTTTAATCATTTTTTTGATTTCATATTCTGTTGGGTTGATACCAAGAGCTCTTAAAACTTCGCCGATCTGGCTGCAGTCAATTTTATTGTCCCCACATCGGTCGTATAGAAGAAACGATTCCTCCACGTTTTGGTCCTCACGATTCATCCTTCGATCCTTCTCGGCGAAAAACGACACGAAATTCCCTTGGAAATGTCTTCTACCGTTAAAGAATATATGCTCTATATTTTGAAGTAGAAGTTGTGGTATCAGGAAAATAATAATAAGCCTTTACTATAGTACGCCTGTGCGAATGAATAATGAACAAAAAGATGCCTATAATCAGCCAGGTGTTATGGAAATGTATGCTAATTTATTCATTTTCTTAAACTGCTTTAAAAGCATCCTCTGGAGTGCGTCATTAACTAAAAGCTTGCCATTGATGAGCTTAAGATGAATAGCTTGAAGTATATTTAAAATACCATACATATAATTCATATTTTTTTGTCTTTTTTCCTGGTAAAAAACGATTGAAATTCTCGCATGCGGCGCGAAACGTACTACATCACTCCAATGGCTTCCGTATTCGAGCCTTGTGATTGGATAATTTGATTTTTCGTGCGTATTGATTGGTTCATAATGTTTTCCTGATGACGGACCATTAGAGAAGAGTCACTGAAAACTTCAAGGTTAATAAAGAAGCCCCACCCTCCTACCAACCACAGGTAGCCCGCACTATGAATATTTAAAGTATTGAACTTTCAAATAATATCTATAAATTCTAGATCTCTCAACACCAGGATGCCGTTTATTCTTAACATTCTACAAATTCGTTGAAATTGAATTTCATTTTTATACAAAGTTGAGGAAGTATAATTTTCCAAATTTAAAAAAAACAAAAAAACAAATAAAATATTTGTATAAATAATACAAAGCATGCATCATTACCAATAATTAAATATTTAATAGAATGTAACCAACTGCAGTTTTATAATTTAACATATATTTAACACTGAATATGTCATAAATACCTCGGCAAAGTATCATGCGTGCATATAAAATTCGGTCTGCAATAATATTGTGTCATGTATTTATGGGTTAAAGTAATGAGCAAAGATCTTTTCTATATTTTTTATTTTTTCTAAAAATTTCCTATTCGTTAAGAAATGGCACCCTTTAACTGTTGTTGGGATAAATGTTTATTTCCAGCAGGGGCTAAAAGGAAATATTACGACCTTTGTGCCCTGACCACACTCGTATGTAGAGCTAGTTCAGAACTGGACCCACTTTTATCTGCACGTGCGGTAAAAAAAAGAGAAGATCTGGATTGGGACGCAATCATTTCTTTAGAAACAGAGGTCAGAGGATCATTGCACGCGCAAAACAATAAACACCATTGAGAAAAGTGGGTTCAGTTCTGCAGTAATGTAGAGCGTAATTGAGCCTCAAAAGATCTCTACCAGAAAATATATGTTGACATCAAAGTGGGTGTGTCTGTCACAACAAGTTTAACAAGTCTACAAGGGTGTGGTTGCAGGGGGTCTTAGACAGGACTTAGGAACAAAACCTTGGTTTTTTGATGCAGGYGAGTAAGCCCATACCCAGCCCCGCCCATCTCTACACTTCATATCAGCATAAATCCAGTCCCCCTTATAAACCGTCATTTCATCTGCTTCTCTACCTAAATGTGTGTCTGTGCAAACAAGCTCTTGTCCATAGAGGAGTAAATCATTGCTACTTCTTCGAGATTGATTATAACTTCTACCAAGTGATTGCGACAGTTGATAAGCATCAGGATTCCCTGGCACAGAATGTCTTTGATCTAATCTTGACATGGACGAGAACGGTTTAAATCTTACATTTGGATTTGGCTGCTTTAAGTTATGATTTTCGTCAGTTATGAGTAAGGTGCTTGCAGTACTAACTCTTGGATTATTTGGCGTTGTCATGTTATAATCACACTGGGAAACTAAAGTAAAGACATTTTCCCTTTTATCAAGAGCATTTGAAGAACTTGGGTGGCTCATTTTCCTGTCAGGAGTATTTCTAACTACTGGGGCAAAGGACGGCAAAGCTGGTACATGATTTGAATAGGGCGAATTCTGTTCAAATCTTRACAAGGATGTGGAGGACTGATCTGCAGATATAACTGGAGTGTGAGATGAACTTCTGCTACTGTTGGTTCCACTGGAGCTATAATTATCCATCCTTCTAGTGCTGGACAGTGGTATAGCGCAAGTGTTGGCTGGGAGGGGTGTCTGGTCAGTTCTTGAGAATGAGGTACAGGATGAGGCAGCGATCACTGTTGAGTGAGGCGACATTTTGCTACTAGAGTAGATATTGGGATTAGACCTTGAAAGTTGACCTAGAAATGAAAAACAAAATTTTTTTTCATTGCTTCATAGTTTAAATCACTCTTCATCGTAATGATGTCTGCAATGACCCTGCTCAGACCCTCCCCACCCCTTGGAAATTCCAATCCCCCCTCTGTGGGGGAGGTATGGATATTTTCTGGAACTACACAATACACCCTCCTCAGACCCTCCCCACATCCTTGAAAATTCCAAATCCCCTCTGTGGGGGAGGTATGGATATTTTCTGGAGCTACACAATATACACTCCACAGACCCTCCCCACTCCTTGGAAATTCCAATCTCCCTCTGTGGGGGAGGTATGGATGTTTTCTAATATTACTGCAAAGTTGAAATTCTCATTAGGTCAGGGGCAAGGTCACAACAACGGTCCAAAATAGGGACCTGATTTTATGGATTAAGGTGGTGGGTACCGGTACATACCCCCTCCCCCCTCAGAGACCTCTTCAAATGCTCGACACTGGGGGTCTGTAGTGGCAAATTATATGCACAAATATGTTTTTTAGCATACATGCTAAAGACAGACAGTCCATTCATTTCTGCGATTTGGCTTTTAGTTTTGGAGATACAGTATTTGGGGACAAAATCTAAGATTTCACTTCCAGAGGTGGTGGGTACCAGGTAACACCACCCCTCCCCCCTAAATCAGGTCCCGTGAGATGACAATTGTTTTGCCCTCGTCCCTTACTTCCTATAAATCATCGATCATAATGAGGTCTTAGTTCAAAAACAGGGTGCTAACTAAACACACTATTGTAATAATAAAATACATGAGTGGCCCACACATTGGGTCATTACAGATAACATTTACTTCACAACATGCAGCAAAAGCACCTTCTTTAYAGCTATAGATAAATATGTAAACAAAATCCAAACAAATGAATTGATAGAATATTATCTCTAGATTCCAAAAGCTATGAATAGCTAAGCCTTAAGCTTCAGACTTACGCAAAGACATTCCGAAAGATATTTTTAAAACTAAGTGCTTTTTGATAGTTGCCTGATTGAGTGTTGATAGATATAAGGTCATTGGTAATATCATGGCTGTAGCTCTATTGGTATGCAGAAAAGACAACAGACGATAGATAAAGAGGGAAATTAGCAAATATTATTTTCAAAATCACACCAAATGGCATCAAAAATAATAATTGCAGCTTGCAATTAAATGGATTCCCCAAGATGTTTATCGCTAGTATTTTGTGCACTGGACAAAATCATTTTTAATAGAAGATAGAGTTCCTTTGGGATTCCAATTATCATAATAATGTACAGAGGTGATTAAGTACGAGATAAAACAATCAGACACACAAGACGCGTATTCAATATATTTATACATACCTCTGCTCGTAAGAGATCTACTTGGTTCTGTTTGCTCGATTTTTGTAACGAAATCTTTAGGAATAAAACCCTCTTTACCGCTCTTCTTTTTAACCCAGTACCAATCTTGATCCTCTTTGTTGAGTACTTGCACAACTTCTCCTTTTCTGACCGACACATCGTCTTCTTCGGTAGCTTCAAAGTCGAATTTTACAATAAAGTCTCCGTGATTTTCTTTGGCGAACTCTGCAGGTTCGAAGCTTGATTGTGTTACCATAGCTTCAAGTAGCGGTGATTTTAAAAAGTCTTTACTCCCAGATGAAACTGTTTTTTGCTTTTCTTTTCTTTTTTCGTACTCTTCCTCGGTTACGCAATAAGTAAATGGTATAAAACCCTCTTTATTATCAAGTTTTAAGATATAAATCCAGTCTGTTTCCTGATATAAAGCCCTCACATGCTCTCCGCGTTTCACGAGCACTTCATCTTCAACACATGGAATAAAATCATGTAAAACTACCATTTTTCGCGGCTCAAACTCTATCTCTTCTTCTTCGTTGTCTTTTCCTAATGCAACCAAGGAATCCACGCTATTGCTGCCGGTTATACGGCTTTTTGGGGCTCCATTTTTTGTCGAGTTTTCACCATCGCGCCCTGTCAAAATATTAGTGCACACATGTAAACATTCTCTCTATGATAATTTCAAACAGATTATTATGAAAAAACCTACTTTTCCTTCTTCGTCGTGGGATACGAACTGGACAAAGAAACGCCATTGTGTGTTATCAATCCTTATGTTTTACGCCAGGAAATTGAAAATACCTGGGTTATTTAGAAATCGGAAGAAAAGATAAGCTTTCTCTGTTCATACTTGCTTCTTGGTGACTGAGGTACTCATGCAGAGGTCAGAGATTAACCATGGGGGGTAGGGCTTGGGTTTTTGTTACACTTATGGGAGGGGAGGGTTAAGCGTCATTTCATTCATAATCGACTTTTATTGATTTATCATACATAATTTTCCATTAGATAACTTAAAATATTTAGAAGATTAAATGAAAATATCTACTATTAACAATACTGGAAACGTATCAATAAATCAAATAAGAGAGAGTTAAAATTTGAGGAAAAAGAAAATGAAGAAGGAAAAAAAAAAAAAAAAAAAAAACCAATATAAATGGTCCGAGCCAAAATACAGATCTCATCACTGAATATTTAGGTGATAAATATTTTTGATTACTCTTTCCTCGGCCTAGATATAGCTTGCAAAAACTTATTTCCATTACACCATTTCACATCCACTGAAAGACCTTTCTCATAATCGAAAAGGTCCTTTCACTGGATGTGAACTCCATTAGACCATGACTATTTCACATCCACTGAAAGGACCTCTTACATAATTGAAAAGGTCCTTTCACTGGATGTGAACTCCATTAGACCACGACTATTTCACATCCTGTGAAAGGACCTTTTTTCATAATCGAAAAAGCATATCAAGATTAGTAATTCTGGCAAATTCGAACATGATTGGATGAAAAAAACCAGAATTATCGCTTTCTAAAGTTTAAGAGCAAGTTTTTTATACACCAATGGAAATATGTCGACCAGTTTGAATATATGTCTATTTTTCTTGACTGACTAGAGACTGACTGAAACGCTTTTATGTTTTCACGTGAACACGAGGCTAGACAGTCGCTTGTCAGTGCAGAACAATAGTTATTCGAATTGTTCGCCATATTTCCGGTATCGGTGTATGAAGCTTACTTTGTTTTAAGGACTAAAAGCATCTGACGCGAAATCTAAGCTAAAAGAGAAATCTCCATAGCAACCTTTCTTACATTCTCAAAATAAACCTCGTTCTAAAAATAGCTGTTTTTAATAGGTTTTACGTATTATTGGGTTTTAAAATATTTTGACGGCTATAAATCTTAAAATGATCAGTAAGGGAAAAACAGGAACTCGATGAATACATAGATATAGTGCTTTAGATTCGATTATAACGTTGTTCACTAGTGATCGAACTGACCGCTATTTTCCTCATCGTTGTCGAAAGGTAGGAACGTCGTATATGATTCAACGCTTTATTCCTACCAATAAATGTATTTGGTAATCCACGTGTTTGTACCATACATGAAGTACCATCTGACTAAAGCCTCGCAATCAAGTTTTCAGATATCTTCGTGTGTTAATTCTTATGCCGACCGTAGGACGAAATATCAGTCCACAACCCACGTCTATCGGTTCACCTAGCGCAATAAGAAGTATAGTTGTATAACTGGACCCGCGTACCCAGACGTGCTTTCTAAAAGGTAAGGTCTGTGTTTTGCATTTAATTCTTATGAGAATCTAGACTCTTCCACAGTCTCTCGCTCGTCCGTTCCGTCTCCACGCTTAGAGACTGTAACGGTACAATGACCGAAAGGACTTATGGGTCCCGAAAACTTGGACCCAGCGTGCTTTGGGAACCAAAATACTCGTCCACAGTCTCTCTCGTTTTCGCCGCCATCTTGAAAATATTGAAACGAGAGAGACTGTGGACGAGTATTTTGGTTCCCAAAGCACGCTGGGTCCAAGTTTTCGGGACCCATAAGTCCTTTCGGTCATTGCACCGTTACAGTCTCTAAGCGTGGAGACGGAACGGACGAGCGAGAGACTGTGGAAGAGTCTAATGAGAATCTGTTTTGTTCACACCCCATTTGAACATAACATTGAATGAGGGATAGTTAGGAAATTGTTCTAGTTTACACTAAAACGAGGCAAGTACTGACTGACAAGAAATGGGTACTAATTCAAGTTTGCACCAACCTTGTACCCAGGCTCTCTTCTGTCAGACCACGTGATCTCTTTACTTCCGCCATTTTTGTTGAATGGCTAGAAATTGACGTTTGCCATCCAAAATGGCGCCGGGTAAATAGTCACGTGACCCTACGTCAATCGTTCACGAAGGGGGTTTCGGCGCTGCTGGAGAACACGTGTTGTTTTTCTAATCCTCTTCAAATTACATATACATGATCGAGTACCGGCGGCCGTGTTGGATGACAAAACAAAAAAATCTCTCTACTACTATTGGAAACTGCTATTTCCGCCTTAATGAATTCGAATGCCGGGTTCTCTTGTTGTTTCCCCGCGAGAACATTGACAGTGTTTATACACAAATTAATGATAAACGCAAGCGGCAGTTTATATTGATTTCACAATATTTTTTAACAACATTGCGTGTCTCTGTCCTGAAACTTGCTAACCAGCCAATTAGAGCGCGCGAGCGTTAAATTTTAATATTTTATAAAAGATTCAGTTGATATATTTAGCATCGTGTAATCTGCATCGTTAAGAAGCGTAATGAAAGCAACAAAAATATTGCCCGTTTTACTATTTTTACGGAATAGTTGAGGATATTGCCATATTGTCTCGTCTTTTTAATAAAGAAGCAAATTGTAGTAATACTAGTGGAAAGAATTATGAACGATATATCGAGCAACTGAATGAAATATTACTTCCTAAGTCAAGTATAAGTCATACTTATTATTTGAATCCAATGGTAGTGTAGGGCTCTTAGCCAGGAGGCCATTGAAAACGTGAGAGAAAAACCTTTAGAATCAAAAAAAAAGAAAGAAAAAAAGAAAGAGAGAGAGAAAAAGAAAGAAAGAAAGAAAAAAAAAAAAAGAAAGCAAGAAA